TTACAGAGCCTAGAAATAGGCAAGGCTCCGGGTATCGATGGACTTCCTGTTGACTTTTACAAAGCTTTCTGGCCTGTCCTGGGAGAGGATCTACTGCTCGTTCTCAGGGACAGTCTAAGTAAAGGGCTGTTACCTTCAAGCTGCAGGAGAGCAATTTTCACTCTTCTCCCGAAGAAGGGGGACTTGCAAGAGATTAAGAACTGGCGGCCAGTGGCGTTACTCTGCACGGATTATAAAATTGTGTCCATCTGCTAAAGTTAACTGGGAAAAAAGTAAAGCCATAATAATCAGTGAAAAATTAAGACGGATTTTTGTTTTGCCTGGTGGGTTAACCTGGAGTAAGGGGGGTCTTAAGTATCTTGGGGTTTATCTTGGTGATGATACTTTAATGTGTAGGAACTGGGAAAATGCTTTAGAGAAAGTTGAGGGGCGTTTAAAAAAGTGGAAATGGATTCTTCCACATATGTCTTTTAGAGGTCGAACACTAGTAATTAACAATTTGGTTTCTTCTATGTTATGGCACCAATTACTGTGTATTGATCCTCCAGCACATTTGCTAGCTAAGATACAGACAATTTTAGTGGACTTCTTCTGGGACCTAATGCATTGGGTCCCACAAAGCATTTTGTTTTTACCGAAAGAAGAAGGAGGCCAAGGACTCATTCATCTTGCCAGTAGAGGTGCTGCTTTCCGGCTCCAGTTTATTCAGAGGTTCCTGGTTGGACCCAAAGACCTTGGCTGGAAACCTTTAGCCAGAACTATTTTGGCCAGAGGTGGGAATTTGGGTCTTGCGGAGTCCTTATTTTTAATGGACCTAAGTACTCATAAACTGAATAACCTCCCAAAGTTCTATCAAGGACTTTTTACTATTTGGGGGATGTTCCATAAGCAGAGATCAACGGACAGTGAATCTTCATTATGGCTATTGAAAGAGCCTGTAGTGCATGGGACACGTTTTAATGTAGAGGATACAACAAAGAATGTTTACAATGTTTGGGGAAAGTTTTTCTAAACAAATGTTTATTCTTGGTTTTAAATATTGTCAAAAGTGGAGAGTGAAATGTCAATTGTTTAATTTTGTACTGGGCCAAGCAAAAATGGCTATCTATGTGAGCAGAAGAAATAAGATCGAAGAGTCTTCAGATTGTGATGTAAATACAATTTTTGTCAGATTGTTGAAAGCCAGACTGAAAATTGATTTTGATTTTTATAAGTCTACAAATAATATAGAAGAGTTTAGAAATATGTGGTGTCTTAAAAATGTGCTATGTTTTTTGGGTTGATGTTGAGTTAATTTAGTGGTTTGGTTTTTTGGCTTGAGTGTGATTTTGTCTGAAAAGCAATAAAGAGGTTTTTGGACTCTCTCTCTCTCTCTCTCTCTCTCTCTCTCTCTTTCTCTGTCTAGATATCTCTCTCTCTCTCTCTCTCTCTCTCTCTCTCTCTCTCTCTCTCTCTCTCTCAATTCAATTCAATTCAAAACTGCTTTATTGGCATGACTGTAAATTATACAATATTGCCAAAGCTTAGTATACATGTACAAAAAGATCAAAATAATAATATAATAACAATAATAATAAGTAAATTAACATCACAGTAATATAATGGAATATTATTACATCTTAGAAGTATTAAACTGTAACAAATTATAACGTGTGAACATTTGCTACCACAGTCTTTAACTTACATAGAAACACTCATACATACTAAGGATCACTGTGGTGGACAGTAGGGTAACACACTGAGGTCACACCGAACACACATTTACCTGCTGTCTCTCTCTCTCTCTTACACTCACTCACACACACACACACACACACACACATTCACCTGATGTCTCTCTCTCTCACACACACACACACACACACACACACACACACACACACACACACACACACACACACACACACACACACACAGTCGCAATATTCCAGATATGTATTTTTAGATTGTTTGATAATTTGATTTATTTTGATGTTTGGATGAGACGCAGTGCTGGTTTGAGACTGGTTAGAGTTAGTCAGGTTAGTAAGTCTCAGAACTAGCTGACTGAGTGGACTCTTTTTGGGGTTCAGTTCTTGGGTTTGTAGAGCTTTAAAATGTAGCGATTCTGTGGGACTTGATTTAAGATGCATCCAGAATTTGAGAGATCTTTTATGCATATTGATAATCAATAGGAATCGGCCTAATTCTGGCCTACATGCGTTATTGGGTGTTTTTCTTTGTAGTTTTAAAATCATTTTGCAAAATTCTATGTGTAGGGCTTCTGTTGGATGTCTGTCCCATCTAGTGTAGCTCTGATCACTGAGTGATCTCTCTCTCTCTCTCACTGTCTCTCTCTCTCTCTCTCTCTCTCTCACTGTCTCTCTCTCTCTCTGTCTCTCTCTCAGTGGAGGTTGTTTGTGGTCAGGAAGTGTGAATGTGCCTCAGTGCTGCTTGAGCAAAAGTCATTGCAGAGCACATCCGGCCTGTGTGTGTTTAAAAGAGTGCAGAAGGCTTCACCGAAAGACACAGCTGAGGTGAGCTTCATTCTCTACATTTGTTTGAAAAACCATCACATTAGATATTATAAATCACATCATTGATTGTGTGCTGCTTGTTAGGAGAATGTGAACATGTGGCTTAAGGAGGGCTCCATTACCTTATGAATGACACGTAAAGATGAATTCAATGCTCATTTCTGTGGATGGTTTTGACAGACTGTTTCAACACTGCAAACACGGATTCTTATCCTGTCGTTTGGATGTATATATCATGAGAAATGTATAACTAGCAAATAAACCTGACTCTGCTGATGCTCTATGCAGTGTTTCATGTCAGCATGATGGTTTATATCGTCTTTATTTATATTGCCTTTGTTGTGTAAATACTGAACTTAAGCAGCCATTCCACGGATCGTCTATTAAAACGATAGAAATTAATGTTTCGGCGGTCTCTTGCATATGGCTGTAAACTTTCGTGGTTTTGTGGTGTCACAGCGGTGTAGATATGATGGCTAATGAAAGGGTTTTTTCTCTACCGATGCACTTTTACACACTCAATGTTTTACACACTTTTACAACCCAAATCTCAGGCATTTGGAGCTTGTTGGTCGACGTGGGAGTGTTTCTGCACATCAGTCTCAAAATGGATGCCCTGCTCATGACGGAGGACCAAGCCTGAACATGAGCTCTTCTTCCTAAACTCTTCATGATGACTGTCTGAATGCGAAGACTATGGAGGATATTGTAGACTATCAGGACTCTGAGCCTTATCTGGAGGCCATGCAGTACATAGAGAGGATGAAGCAGGAGAAGGAAAGAAGCCTTGAGAGCGAGAGCATCCCGATGGATCATGGGGTGTCTCTGTACCCCGTCACCGTTCCTTGCTCTCCTCTCTCTCACGCTACTGTGCAATGGGACGCCCCAGAGCCTCCCGGATCGTCTGAGGCCGAGCTGGACTCCATCGCTGGCCCGAGGTTCGACTGGACGATGGATCTCCTGTCCGCAGACCAGGACACCGCTGTTGATTTCTCACCTGAAGCTGAGTCACAAGCGGACGTCACACTTGAGTCTTCCCAGGTATGTCAGTGAAAGCGGAAGGGCCTTGTGGTTTTTCTGGTTGACATGTTCTTGTATCAGTAACCAGTGGCCTGCTTTCTTAATGTTGTGTGTGTACGCTTTATTATGTACTTTTATTTTTACTGAGAGTTTAACAACTTGCAAAACATACAGTATAGTTTGTTGAATGAATTAGAATATCATTTTGAGCAGAAGAGAAAGATGGCAAATGTTTGTTTGAGTGTTCTGATGGGTTTTTTCTTCAATAGACATGTGATGCTCAGAAGTCAGATATGCGAACACAGCTGGTGCTTTCACATGAAGAGCCCCCCAAATCATTTGCAGATGTCAACGGTAACATTTTAAGTCTTAATTATTCGATCATGATTTTTGTAATGTGATGTGATTTAAATAATGGAAGTCATAGGTGGAAATCCCGGGGGGGACAGGACCCCCCCATCTGAGGGTTGTCCCCCCTAAAAATAGTATTAAAAACCACACTGTGTATTGTAAATAACAATGTTTATTGTTTATACAACTTTATACTTCAAATAATTGTGTAAGTAGTAAAGCAACGCAAACAGGTCAAAAATCTGTTTTAAGTTTAGAAACATTTTGAGTTTCTCCTCCGGTGAGTCAGCATGAGAACAAAGTCAATAGTTGTGGAACTCAAGTAAGTAAGGCTGTCAAGGCTATTTTATTCACTTAAGCATTGGATGAAGTGATTATTTCCTCTTTAATACAGATGATGCCAATGTAATGCTCACTATGTTAGCAATAATAACGTTACCTGCTTGACGAAAAGGGTTGCCAGGTTTCAGACAACAAAACCCGCCAAATTGCTACTCAAAACTAGCCCAAACTAACCTCGTTTCGAGGGAAAACCATGCACTTGGCAACACTGTAGTAATATCTTCAACGGACACGAGCGCTGTCTTGGCGCGACCACAACAGCTTGAAGTTGTCTAATTTGGCACGGTCTCCCTGCTGCACTAATAGTAGTAAGGCTTTCCTCTGTGTATACATATCCTTACAAGTACAATTTTAGCTGTATTATTTGTGTCCCCTTCAAAAATGGCTCTTGAGAAATTTTATGTTTATTGTCCCACAAGCTGTTAGACGAAATTTACGCCCCTGATGGAAGTGCTTTAAATCATACTGGGGTGCGGTTGTAATTGTGTGACAGTTGTGAAATGGCCATGTGTTTGTCAGCTGTGAATGTCAAACTGTTTGCTGACTCTTCATGAGTTTTGTTGCCTAACCTTTAAAATGTGGCCGCAGGCACATCAGTTTCCCATCAGCCATTACATTCCTAGAGGTTTGGACTTGGTGTTGTTTGTGGTTCTCAGAAATCAGTATGGCGTGGACATATTTATCTGTGCTTTTTCCATCAGACTCCAGAGCAGATGCGACTGAAGAGCTTTTTGAAGCTTATGATGGTGTTCAGATCTTTATGGACACACGAGACTCAGCGATTCGACCGGGTCCGGAGGGCTCACAGTCGCAGGAAGAGAAGGAACCCAACATGTTTGACTTTCCCAAAACCACTTTTGCCCATGAGGAAATCACAGATTCCGGCAGTGAAGAGCAAACTAGAGAGTGGACTGAGAACGAGGCAAACGGAGGATCATCAGATGCAAGAGCCGATATTCAGGATCAGATTCAAGGACCTGATGAATGTTTGGAAAAAGAAGAGTCAAGTTCCCCAGAGAACCAGTTTGATCGGTCACAGGACGCCATCATTACTGGCGCGACACAACCAACGGAGCCCCTGCCGGACCTCACGGACGATTCGGTGCAGCTCCAGGAACTTATACTGACACAAGAGCCAGAAAACATAAGCACATCTGTTACAGTGGTGAACCAGAATAATGGCACTTTACAACATGCAGAAGAGATTCATGGCGTAGACCTCTTGGAGGAATTCAACGCACAAGACCAAGAACGTGTAGAAAAACCTGTAAGCTCCGAGCAAAAGTCTGACCCTGAAAATGAATGTCCAGAGCCAGTAGAGCAGAGCGAGCGGTTCAGACGTCCAGATGAGAACAGATCCTCAGAGCAGATCCAGAGTTCAGATGAGGAGAAACCCTGCGATCAGACGCCACCATCGGAGCGTCCAGACGCATCCAGAGACACGAAGCAGCCGACAGTGCTGGCAGAGCATGTACGAGATGAGACATCAGAGCCGGTTATAGACACAGAACCCGCTGGTCCCTGCATCAACGGTAGCGCTGAGCTCGTAAACAGGGCCGAGGCTCAGCGGTTAGCTGAGAAGCTCTATAGACTGGACGGTTTTCAGCATACAGATGTGGTCAGACATCTGGACAAAGAGTAAGTCTCATAGCATTGATTAAGTGTCATGCATCTATTTGTTTTTCAACCAAATGTTCCTATTTGCTGTTTCTTTTGATAGCAACGAGTTCAGTCGTGCCGTTGGGGAAGAGTACCTCAAATTCTTTGACTTCACCAACCAAAGTCTGGAGCAATCGCTCCGGTAGGCTCCTCATTTCCAAACTCTGAGCACACACTGCGGAGATCCGTCTAGAGTCGCTTTTCAAACCAGGTGCTCTTCCTGATTCTTAGGTCATTTCTGAAGGATGTGGTTTTGATTGGTGAGACTCAGGAGCGCGAGAGAGTCCTGCAGCACTTCTCCGCTCGTTTCCAGCAGTGTAATCCTGACGTCTTCTCCTCCACCGGATCCGTGCTCACGCTCACATGTGCCATGATGCTACTTAACTCTGACCTGCATGGACAAGTTAGTCTCTTACAACCACAGAAAAAGATGTCGTTAAGACTCCAAACTCTTGAATCATCTGTCATCTTTGTGAGAGTAACCCTTTTGTGTCATCAGAATGTCGGAAAGCCCATGTCCTCGGCTGAATTTGTGTCAAATCTGGACGGCATGAATGGAGGCGAGAACTTCAGCAAGGACTATCTGAAGGTGTGAGAGCCAAATCTTCTCGGTCCCAAGCTGTTCACGTGTTGTGTTATTAACTCAGCAGTAACTCTGTTTCTTCTGCCTCTTTCAGAGTCTCTACATCTCCATCAAGAGCAATCCGCTGCAGTGGGCCGTGTGAGTAAACTGCCCTGCGGCACTGATCCGACTGTGATCTGGTGTTTCATCATGTTTATCTTTGTTCCTAGAGAGGAGGGGGTTCTGGCTAAATCCATGATGCCAGAGCAGTATTTGGACCAGGATGGATTTCTGCGCTCAAAGAGTAACCCGTTCCAGGATCTTCCTCACGACACCAAGGCCACCGTGTTCCAGAAAGGCTTTTTAAAACGCAAAGCGCATGCAGACATTGATGGCAAACGTAGTGAGTCACAGTGTGGATAAAGATAGGTGTGCTGTACAGTTAGAGATGCTCAGTAGTCAGTTTTTAGGAGGCTACATTCACCAGACAGTGTTTAGATGCGTTTCTGTGCGTGGCCCTTCAGTAGCGTAACTGATCGATACTCAACAAATACAGACAGGAGAGAGTTTGCATACTAACGGCATTACTGCTCGCAGAAGACAATTTGAAGTGTGATGTTAGTTGAGGGTGATGCTTTCAGAGACAGTGTTCACTGTGCTGCTGACAGTCTAGTCACTCTAGCACAGGCTTTCACATAAGGCACAAATATTAATCCAATATTTTTATTTCAAATCCAAACAGTGTTACTGAAAAGGCTTCTTCAGCATTGAATTTTCTAATTCAATATTTCATAGACTTATTCACAGTTAAACAATAAATAGAAACAGCATCTAATTCATTTTACTCCTATATAGATTTATATATTTGCTTAAGCAAGAGGCAGAACATTTAAACAGCCTACTTTTCTTATGTTAAAAGGTAGTAGGCTATCACAAACATTTAAATTATAATTTACCACTGACAGAAACCGTCGACTCTCGTGCCTTTTGCATTTAAATCTTCCTTACAAGCAATCCTGCGGGGTCATAAAGAACTTTGTTTTTCTACCTCCACGAGGGCCATCTGTTATTGCCTTGTTCATCTAAAAGTGCACTTTTCCTTATTTTATGAAAATCTAGCAGAGCTCCCAATTGAACTGGTCATTAGTCATTATTGAGTAATTATTTACATGTCTAGTAAATGAGTTGAGCATCCTGATCCTTCGAGCGCTGGACAGGCAACATTTGACACACTGATAACCAACTGAACTGATTTGCAGCTCCATGGGGGAAACGAAGCTGGAAGACGTTTTATGCCATGCTGAAGGGAATGGTGCTTTACCTGCAGAAGGTTTGTTAGCAGATACTGATGCTGGATATTAGTGAGATGTAACTAAAAGCATATGGACAGCCAGAGAGTTTTACAGTGTTTTAGCATGTCTGCTTTTTATAGAACCCTGCCAAAGCATCAATACAAGTATAAGTAAAAACGGTGGTTGGTGATCCGTGTCTCTGTGTGTCCAGGATGATTACGTGAAGGACTGCCAGAGCTCAGAGGAGGTGGTCAGCGTTCATCACGCTCTGGCGGAGCGAGCTCTGAATTACACCAAACGGCCGCACGTGTTTCGCCTGCAGACGGCCGACTGGAGAGTCTTCCTCTTTGAGGCTGCGTGAGTTTGTGTGCAGATTCTCCTTAAACTGAAATCATTTAAAGGGGTCATAAATTGTGAAATCAACATTCCCTTGATCTTTTGACATATAAGAGGTCATTGTGCTATGAACACATTCTGTAAGGTTCAGAACTCAAAACTTTCTCGTTAGTCTAACAACAGCTTATATTGAAGCCAGTCTGCCAAAATGACAGCTTGTGGAATGTTCTACTCTGATGTAATGGTGTGGATAAGCACCTCTTTAGCACTGCCCACCGATTCTACACCACTGCCTGTTTAGCCCCGCCCACCGATTCTACATCACTGCCTGTTTAGCCCCGCCCACTGATTCGATATCACTTTGCTGTGTCTCATTTAGAAGGCTGCGTCCTCCGGAGGTCGCATTTTGAGGCTGCATACGTCATCGGCGAAGTCTCATTTAAGAAAAGTAACCATTAAATTGCAAAGTAAAAAAATTATGGTATTTTTACCCTCACAAGGAATAACAGTCAATTTTATTATGGTTACTTTTCTTAAATAAGACATCCTTAATGACGTATCCAGCCTTCAAATGCTACCTCCGGAGGATGCAGCCTGTTTAGCCCCGCCCACCGATTCTACATCAATGCCTGTTTGTTTAGCCCCGCCCACCAATTTGCACGTATAAGTAAATTACGAGAGCGGCAAACGCAGGTATATGCAGAAACCAAACGATAAACTTTATTTGATGAACTTTATTATTAATGAAAATCCAGACCACGTGAGTAAGAACTCGGTCTTTTGTTCACTTCATTTTACTGTGAATTTGTTTACAAACAAGGCACAGATTGATGTAGGATTTTCAGAAAGATTGAAACTAAAAGACGATGCTGTGCGACTTTATTGGATCCGACAGTAATGTTGCAACACACAAGTGTGAGTAACTGTTTTTATTACATGATCACTACTGTTTTATACAGATCGTTTGATATGTACTGAGTATTTATGCGTTTTTAACCTAAATCACAGCAGCGTCCATCTGTGAAGGAAGTAGATCACAGCAGTGGTGTTTACTTCCGAGTCTACAATCCTACACGCTATTCAAACAGAGCGTTCTGATCAGGGGGTTAAAAACAGGACAGAAATCAGAATCAGAAAGAGCTTTATTGTGTTTGATATGTACTGAGTATTTATGCGTTTTTAACCTAAATCACAGCAGCGTCCATCTGTGAAGGAAGTAGATCACAGCAGTGGTGTTTACTTCCGAGTCTACAATCCTACACGCTATTCAAACAGAGCGTTCTGATCAGGGGGTTAAAAACAGGACAGAAATCAGAATCAGAAAGAGCTTTATTGCCAAGTATGTTTGCACATACAAGGAATTTGTTATAGTGTCACAAGCTTCCAGTGGAGACAACAACAACACACAGATAATAAAAATAAGATGTGAATGAAATGCACATGCATAAATATAAACCACAAAAAAAGAATAAATTGTATGTACAGGTGTGCTATAGATAGAATAGGAATAGAATAAAATAAAATAAAGTTGTAGTATGATGTATGTACTAGGATTTAGGGTGATAAATAAGTATAAGGTTATTGCACATACCTTAATTGCACAATGGGAGAACATTAACTGTTCATGAGGTAGATTGCCTGGGGAAAGAAACTGTTCTTGTGCCTGGCTGTCCTGGTATTCGGTGCTCTGTAATGCCGACCAGACGGCAAAAGTTCAAAAAGGAGATGGCTTGGATGTGATGGATCCAGAGTGATTTTCTGAGCCCTTTTCCTCACTCTGGATGTATACAGTTCTTGGAGGGTAGGCAGGG